GGTGGTGTCGGCGGCGGCGGCGGCGACGTGTTCCCGTCGCTGTTCCTGGCCCAGCAGCGGCCCCCGGACCCGTGCTACGACGACAGCCGTCCGCGGCGCTGCGTGCCCGACTTCGTGAACGCGGCGTTCGGGCGCGCCGTGGAGGCCAGCTCCACGTGCGGGGCGCGCGCCGCGCAGCGCGTGTGCGACGCCGGCGGCGGGTGCGTGCTGTGCGACGAGGCCACGCCGCGCCGCCGCCACCCGCCCGCCCACCTCACCGACCTCAACAACCCCAGCAACGTCACCTGCTGGCGCTCCGAACCCCTGCCGCCGCCGCGACCCGGCGCCGGTGAGCGCGACTCCGCACTTTTTATCCTTGTTGTAGGGTGGTATGAATAACCAGTGGTGGTACGACAGACCATTCTTTCTCTCGTCATTTCTAAGTTTTTCCGAAATTCGGGGAGTTCAGTGAAAATGAGATCTGCGCCATTCGTTTGAGCGTTTCTTGTTCTATCCGCAGAAAAAAATTTCCTCGTTTTTAATCCTTGTTGTTAGGTTGTATGAATAACCAGTGGTGGTACGACACACCATTCTTTCTCCCGTCATTTCTAAGTTTTTCCGAAATTCGGGGAGTTCAATGAAAATGAGATCTGCGCCATTCGTTTAAGCGTTTCTTGTTCTATCCGTAGAAACAATTTCCTCGTTTTTAATCCTGTTGTAGGGTGGTATGAATAACCAGTGGTGGTACGACAGACCATTCTTTCTTCCGTCATTTCTATGTTTTTCCGAAATTCGGGGAGTTCAGTGAAAATGAGATCTGCGCCATTCGTTTAAGCGTTTCTTGTTCTATCCGTAGAAAAAATTTCCTCGTTTTTAATCCTTGTTGTTAGGTTGTATGAATAACCAGTGGTGGTACGACAGACCATTCTTTCTCCCGTCATTTCTAAGTTTTTCCGAAATTCGGGGAGTTCAATGAAAATGAGATCTGCGCCATTCGTTTAAGCGTTTCTTGTTCTATCCGTACCAGAAATGTCAACATAAAATTTGGGGCGGTTATTTAAGAAAATGCTTTTTTTTGCTGCGAAAAGAACTGTACCTGACGTTTCTTTCAAGATCTGATTTTTTAGAATAGAATTTGTTCAAAACAATCTTCAAATTTGTGGTTTTGGAATTACCAGGTCCCGTAATAAGGGTTTTTCTGTCGAGAATTCGTCGTTTTCCAATGCACGATTACAATAATTTCCCTTGTTATCAAGTAAAAACGGGGAAGTATTCTACAGCAATTGTTCAAGAGTACAAGTTAAAAATACTACTTCTCATGAGCAATTGCTTCGTTTCATGTGAATAAGACGTTTCGCAAATATTGAAGCGTTTAGTTCTCTCTATGAGTAATTGTTCACTAACCTGTCTGTTGCGACTGGGGGATTTTCGTATAGTTTTCGTTATCTACTTTGCACCGCAACGCGTGCTTGTAGACGCAGTCGGTCGTGTTAAATAAAGTGGCTCAATGCATTGTGCATCGTGTTTCGGTATTTCTTGAAAATGAGCAGTTGAGATGAGGAGGCATTGAAATCAGCAACCAGCAGAGGTACGTCATTACGGGAAAGAAACGACATTCTATGACGTATTATGTATTACGATTTGAGTCTCCTACCGAGGTGGCTTCAAATATTCGAAGTACATGCTTCGGCAATACAAGCAAATTCTCGATTTCATTCATACAAAAAGGACACATTTGCTCCATGGTAAAGCGAATGTAGAATTTGCTGCAGGTATTAGGAATTGCTCACGTCCTTTATTCTCAATGTTCGTACCAAGTGCTTTTAAAACTCGAGAAAGAAATAGTACCTCATTTTTATTCACTGCAAAATAAAATATTATTATAAAAAAAATTCATATCATCCATTGTTGGGGTTATACATAGTTGAGTAGACACTTTTCCACTTGTATTATTGGCTCACAATACTCTCCTAATATCATAATTTTAAACTATTTCTACACACGCGGAAGATAATTCTAACAGCAGAGTGTCCGAGAAAATGTTAATAAGCTTTCGAACGGGAATCTTTCGGACGAGAATCTTCTCATCGGGCGAAATTGTAGTGGGTTGCAGAAATTGTTGGAATGATGTCCTATGTGTTTGGAGATGTGTGGTATGTTTAGTTCTTTGTGTAGTTGTTTGTTAGGTATAAACTATGGTGCGTATGTAAGCTAATTGGAGAAACCTGATTTCCATTATTTGGAGCTTCTTTACGCTGGTGACCGATTTGATCTAAACGGGGCATGGGTATATTACGTTCTAATTATTGTTTCATGCAATGTGATGTCAGTTATCTATTGATAGGCACCTTTTGGAGTGCGTGGTTCTTCTCAATGGGATTAAACCAGAAGCGTCCGCGAATCATGATGTAAGGTCAGAACACGCAGTGTATCTGGCACATACCTCTTGTTTTCGCCATTTATCGATGCTTTCATTGTGTTTAAATGAAAAACCGCACAGTAATAACTTTTCGCGTAATATTTAGTTTTAAAATTATTTTACCTCATTAATTTGTCAACTTGGTAGAGGACCTCTCTCATTTTGAGGTATTCTGTCGCCAGGACACACTATCAAAGGCGGTTGTGTACAGCGGCGGTGACGTTTCAGAGTCTACAGAGCTTTCTATGAAAACCAGTGCTGTAATGAGTGACACTGGATTGCTCCAAAATGAACAGGAATTGAATGAATGAAACTAATACATTACACATTCGCTAGAAGATCCCATCTTAGAATTCTGTGAAAATGTCGAATTCTTGGATCTTACAGTTACATTGCTCTCACTGGGATAACCAATAAAGGAACTGTTGCGTGTAAAAACAAATATATAATTAGTAAATTTTAAGAATTATTCTTCAAATACCAATGGTATCACATAGTACGTAATGTCTCTAGAGCAATGGATCAGAATGTATTTATTCCGCGATTCATTTCAATCTATTTTGAAACTAGTTCTTAATAAACCATTGGAATACCTAATGAAGATGTGTCAAATATAAGAATGTAAAGTTTATTAAATAACGAAAAAAACAGTATAATTAACATACCAAAAAGCATACGATGATTATATGCCTATTTGTACAAAAATACTTGAAATTATATAATTTTTAAAATTTGCAATGAAAAGTTAGTAATACTGGCGTATAATTCTATTGGAAACTTTGCTTTACAATCACAATTGGAACATTTAAAAAAGTTATAAACACACAGCTGTGCAAATAAACATGGTAAAATGTTCATTTTTTTATTACAATTTACATAATACTACTAGATCGGTAACCTGGTCAGGTACAAACTTGTTATCTTTTTGCGAAGGGGCCGAGATTCGGATCTCACTACGAGAATGTACATTTTGTTTCTGGTTTATCATGTGTGAAATGTGTTGCGGAGTTCTGCTATCTTCAGATCCAAGCAGGTCGCAAGTGCGATACCTTCTTGAAGCTCTCCGAAAGGTTGTGAAGGGTAACTGGTGTCTGTCATGCTCTGAAAATGACAAAATCTTCTCGTACAATCTCACTGCTTGCGACAAGTAACTAATTGCGAATTAATATAACCATCAACAAACGGTTTTTCTAATATGCCACACGCGTGGAAAGCTGCTGTTAATCTGAAACTTAGTTTCAGTAAAAAAAATAGTTTTTGCTTATTTTCAGTTTGCTAAATCAGATTCAAAATCGCAAAGTTAGCAATTTTAAAAGCTTTTTAAAAGTTTATTTGCAAAACAAAATGTATGAACACAAAAGATTGAACACTGCAGATTTACAGCGGAAAGTAGACCTACTCCTCGGAATATGGTCTTTCGATTTGCAAATTATGAATAATTTTTACACGACAACGTAATACATTATATAAATATACACAAATACGTTAAATAATGACATTCTTTTAAACTGAAGCAATGTTCTGTAGTTAGGTTTAGTCTCACATCGAACTGCAATATACGGAGCATCCTGAATGAAATGTTTGGGTAATAAGAGAGAATGCTCTCAGCACTTCTCTTTATCTCTCTAGTAGTACTCAAACATTTTCGTCGTTATCCTTTACTACTTTGGTGCATTGGTGATAAACATGAATCGTGAAATACTATAACCTCCGAATTGTCTTTGCTCTAACACTCTTGTGGCCTGTAAGAGAGAGTCATTACTGATTTCACGAAATCCTTTAGGATTCGACCGAAGAATCATCTAATTTCTTGAATTCGGAAGTAAATTAAAAGCATTAACCCACAAAATTTCTCAGTGTCGGAAGAGACTCGTAGCAAGCCGGTTCCCTTGTCTCCGCTAGCTGTAGGCCGTCCCCCGGCCCCTTTATTCATAAAAATTTGGGACGTTTGTCAGTAGTATGCTTTACTAGTGGTAAAAAGGACGTGAGAATTATTCTATAAATATATCACATTCTATCTTCCAAGAGCTGACAACAGCAACTCATCGTTTGTGGGTGTCTGGTAGACCAACGTTCAACAGACTTTAGTTGCTAGACAAAAGCGCCGAATAGAGAAAGAAATGAAGAAAGTCAGCTACATTTTAGGGCTCTTCCACGCTTCTTTTAACTATTTTCCTTATAAAATTATCATCTGGGGTAGATAATTCTATTAGCCAATCCGGCCGAGAAACCCCTACATTGCTTTATTTCCTTTTTGTTTACCTGTGCAACATTTTTAGTAACATCCCTGTTCCCCGTGTGGCGTCATATCTGTCGCCAGTACAAACGTACTATATCAGCCACGTGGACAGCGCTGGCGGAAGAGACGCTGGGCTGCACAAAGGCTAGGGAGCCAGGGAAGGGGGCCGTGTCCTGGGTGGCAACGTGGAGACCCCGGACCCGGTGGAATAGAAATTCAATAGAAATAGAATACGGTCAATAGAAATGCGATGTACAGTTGAACGAAATTGATGACTGAAAGGGAGTGTGTTTGACCTACTTGCTGACCTGGAGGTCCTAGGCTTCGAGTCTCGACGGCGGCAGCATTTTCGACTCTAGCCACACAGCTTGGTCGAATTCAGTCGCTGTCTGGAGGAGAATTCCAGCGGCCGGCTGCTCTGATAGGGAGTTTTCATGGTTTCTCCGGTCAATACCAGGAGAATGCCGGAGCAGTACCCTACCAAACGGGCCGCGGACCGCGCGCAATCTTTTCTTCCCATTCCTTGTGCTATCCCTTCCTTACATACCCATACGTTAACATGCACTATATTACCACATACACCACCAAATTAGACATACGCTCGCACCGGTGCTCCGCTGGTGTGAGATACCTGGTGAGGAAAACCCAGTTAGATCGACGCTGGATCTCACCATCCAGCGGGGCAAGATGT